AAAAGACAGTGTTGAAATTGCAGGTCTAGCTTACGCTTGGAGAAAGCTATAATTTCTCTGCCTCTGGCACCCAGCCTGCTAAACTTTGACAAGGAACATGGGCCCGGATGGGGGTGGAGGCAGGCGCTGTGCGGCTTCTGGACCTCATGCCTGCGTATGCCGTATGCTGGAGGAAGTGGGGACTGTCCTCAGAGCTGGCCCTCCAGCCTCCCCGGGGGCATCTGTCCCTGAAGCCTGGAAATTAGGTTTGCCTGGCTCACTGTCTCTCCCCAGGGAGCCGCACTGCCTTCCCTCCGCCAGCCCTGGGCTTGATTGGCCGGCCACTGGGGATGCTATAAAAAGGATCAGTGCACAGGTGGCGAGGGGGGTGAGTGACGTAGGGCCCTCCCCACTGAGGACAGCCAGCAGCCGGTAAGGGTCTTAGGTCCCTCAGTTCCGGTCTGGAAGGGTCTGATTCCAGCATTCTGGAATTCTAACAGCAGCTGTTTCATCAAGTCCAAGCCTCCATGACTATGGTTCTATGACCCTGCTCTGAGACTCCACAACTCTGGTCTAGGCCTCCAGGAGGCTATGAGAGACCCTACATGGTACATATGGTTAATGTGCTGCTAACCAAAAGTTTAGTGGTTCAAGTCCACGCAGAAACTGGCAATCTACTTCTGGAAAACCTGTCACTGAAAGTCCTATGGCTTGCAGTCTACCCTGCCGTATGTGGGGTCGCCTGAGCTGGAGAGGCATGCAAGCAAGTGGTCCAGAAGTCCAGGAGCTGGAGTCTATGATTTTAATAGTCTCACAGACCCTGACAACTAGACTCCAGACAGGCTGCCCCGACCAACTGTATCATTTAGGCTGGTACTTTTCCCTGGGCCTGGCCTCAACCTGCCAATCTATGAAATGAAGGTGGGAACGTGCAGCTGCTGTAAAGTCAGAACCGACCCATAGCTGACCCTCCGGGGGGTTTTCAGAGGCTGTTAGTCACACAAGAGGAGATTGTTCATCCGTCTCCCATGGAGCAGCTGGTGGCCTCGAACCACGTGCCTTCAGGATTGCAGCACAAGTTCTTGCCACTAGACCACCAGGGCTCCGCTAATGTGCAGGGCGGTCAAGAAATTAAAAAAAAATTAAAAAAATGAAGAAATGGTCCTCCCAGCTCTGCCCCCTCTTAGCTTCATGGCCTCACCTGCATTACCTGTACTGGTGGGGACAGTGGGGCCACCCCCACAGAACACGTCAGCGGCTTAGCTTTGTGCTGGGAATAGTTGGAGAGTGTAAAGCAGAGCCGGCACGCTGTGAGAATTCCGGGTCCCCTGCCCAGATTTAAAGGAAGAGCAAAGGATTGATGAGTCAATGCTGACTCACGGTGATGCAAGTGCCTCGCGTGCATCAGCCAAGAGCTGTGCTCCATGGGGCTTCTAACGGTGATTTTTAGAGAAACAGACCGCCAGGCCTTTCTTCCTAGGTGCCTCTAGGTGGACTCCAGCCACCCACCTTTCAGTGAGCAGCAGAGGTGAAACCAAACTGCTCCCTGGAGGCAAGGACTTTGAGACTCTGTCTCACATACTTTGGGCACATGACCAGAAGGGACCAGTCTTTGGAGAAGGACATCATGCTTGGAAGGGTGGAGGGACAGTGCAGGAGAGGAAGACCTCAGTATGAAGTGGGTTGACACAGTAACTGGGAAAATGGGGGTCGGTGTGTGTGAGTCAGTGAAACGGACTCAGGACAGGGCAGGCTTCAGGGCTGCTGTACATATATAGGGTCACTATGGGTCATAGTCAACTTGATGGGACACAGAACCAACAATACCAGCCCTCAGGGGCAGCCCCTACTTAGCACTGATGGCTCATAACTTTGGACATGTTTCTAGGAGAGGTTCTTCCTTGGAAAAGGCCATCATACTTGAAAGAGTGGAAGGTCAGGGAAAAAACAAAGACCCTCCTCAAGACATATTGACACGGTGATGGCAGCAGTGGGCTCAAGTGTCTCAGAGATGGTGACAATGGCACAGGACAGGACAGAGTTCAGATCTGTTGCTCACAGAGTCACTATGAGTCCTACTTGACTCGATGACACCTAACGACCACAGCAACAATACACTCTGGTAGCCACATATAAGGAGTTGTGCTTCCCTCTCAAAGGCACATGGTTCGAATCTACTAGCTGCTCCAGGGGAGACAAATGGAGAGTTTTCTCCTGTGTGATTTACAGTCTCTGAAAACGTGCTGGCGGGTGGGTCAGGTATGCGTTCGTTCATACTTGATGGCACATAGCAGCGTAACAGAAATCTCGCAAGTAGATTGTTAACAAATTACACTCTCAGTTTAGGGGCTGGAAGTCCCAGTTCAGGCCGCTGGTCCCAGGGGAATGCTTTCTCTCTGGCTCGGGAGGAAGGTCCTTGTCTCCTCTCAGCCTCTGTGGGTGGGAAGCTCCTTGAAAATCCACGTGTGTTTTGGCATCAGTGTTAACTGAGGCCAGGCCACCTCTATTGTTGCTGTTGCTCTCCGCTCAGGGAAGCTAACAAGGGGCAGCAGTGAGGGATAGATTGACGAGGGAGAGATTGGGGGACACTCTCTCCTCACACAGCGCCAGCCTCAGAGAGGGTGCTCTCTTGGGGGAGCCATTGGGGGTGCTGCTGGCATGCATTTTCAAGAGGAGGTGTCAGCCAAAGGGGGTTTTGCTATGGCAGCCCAGCAAGCCCACCCTGCTCCAGAGGTCTGATTGGTGTTGGGGCATCCGCTCTGTTCCTTCAAAGTGTTGTCCTGAGAGGGCCGTGAAGACCAACCAGCCAGACCAGCTGAACTTTCAGAGTGGCGCCAGCAGGAGGTGGCAAAGGGAAGCCGTCTCTGCTGAAAGCATTTCTTGCTCTGGGTCTTCTGCCCTGTAGGCCAACTGTGTGCTTGGTGCTGAGGGACTAGGAGAGGGGTCCATGGGAAGAAGGGCTGGGGTGGAAGGTCAAGGTTGGAGGAGGCTCCAGCTCTCAACCTTGGCTCTGAGAGGCCCCCTGAGACCAGGAAGACCTGTTGAGGGAGGTGAGCACATTCTGGTCGCCTTGCTCACCGGGGCCCAGAATTCTTCCATCAGCAACTTAATTCTTTTAGGTTGTCTACTTTAGCTTCTCTTTTGATCTGTTTGAAGCAGAATATTATGCAGAATATTTATGCAGAATGTGTGTGTAAGTGACAGGTGGGCAAGGTCAGGGGTTGAGGGATAAAGAGTTGAAAGCTGCATAACAGAGAGCCAGCCAATTTATACCATCCACGAGGATGATACAAAGAAGGCTTACCACAGGGTTGCTGAGTCCCATGGAGCCCCTAGGGTAAGCTCCTACTCATGCCTCAAGACCCGACTGAAGTGTCCTCTTCTCTGAGGAACCCTCCCCTCTGGTCTGAGTGGCGGCAGCTATGCTTGTGTGTGTCCCAGCAGCAGCACCTGTCAAGTGTATTGCTAACCATTGCATTACACGTCAGTCTTTGGGGACAAGGAGCATCAGCTGTGCATCCTGTCAACCATTCCTGTGCAGGGCCTCTGTGTTCCATAAAAAGGGAGACAGAAGGAGTCCAGAATGAAGGCTGCACAGTGGAGTGGACACGGGGGCAAGGATTGCATAACAATGAAAGAGTTTTACTTTTCAAGGAGAGGAGTGAATCGGGGGTGGGGGGGGCTGGGCAGGGAGAAAAAGTGCAACAATGAATAACTGGAAATTCTAAGTCTCTGTAAACTTTCATTAAAATTAACAAAAATTTAAAAAAGAGGGGACAGAGGCATGCGCTAGCATGAGGGGGTTCCCAAGGGCTCTGACTCTCATGGAGGGACACCCCTGAACTTGTGTTTCTTAATCCCATTCGGAATCTGAGGACTCAGGTGAAAGCATTGAACTCTGCCAAGAAAAGACACAGACACCTCAACTTTCATCTGGGGTTCTCAGAGTCCCTGGAGTTCATCTGGAAACCTGAGTTCAAGGTTAAGGACCTGCGAAGTGAAGCAGTGATTTTCACATTTGAGCAAAAGACCCACCAGTGTGCCATGCAGACTATTAAAAGGCTCTCTGCTGGTGAGGGCATCATGTGTAGAAATGCTGAGTACTGTTTCATGAAACAGCACGGCTCCATTGAGTTGCAGTGGAAAAAAGCATTCCTTACTGGGCTTGGGGTCAAAAAGGTTTGAAAACCACAGGTATAGAGGAAAGGTTTATGTCATCATAGCTGGATTAAGGATCCACCCATTCCTTTATTTAATGCACACTTGCAGACAGAGAGAGATACCCTGGGGGACAGGCCAGCACTGACACCTGCCTTTTAGAGCCAGAATATGGAATATAGAGACTATGGATCCCACATTCCACTTGACATCCTGCCTAAGTGACAGAAAGTGTGTCACTTTATCTTTTTTTTTAGACTTCATATTTTATTTTATCTCAGTTTATTTTTCCTTTCTTTTTTTAAATTTTTTTTTTCATTTTTTAAATTCATTTTAATGAATGTTTACAGAGACTTTGGATTTCCATTCATTCATTGTTGTATTTTTCTCCCTGCCCACCCCTCCCACCCCCAGTTCGCTTTTCTCTTTGAGAAGTAAAAGAAAAATTCTTTCATTGGTATACAATCTCCCCACCCCCCACCCGAGTATACTCCATTATGCAGTCTTCATTCTGGTCTCTTGTCATGACCATAATAATTCATTTTAATGAAAGTTTACAGAGACTTAGGGCTTCCAGTCTTTCATTGTTGCACTTTGCTCCGTGCCCACCCCTCCCCCCCACTTTATCTTTCTGAGGCTCAGTTTCTCCTCCAAGAAACGGAAGTAGCACCACCTACCACTTACCTAGCTGGCCTGGGCAGTGGGAGAGAAGGTACACAACAGGGGGTGAGCTGGCTACAGCAGGCCTCCGGGCTCAGTGCTATGGGAGGGGCGGCAGTGAGAACCACCTGTGCCATGACTGCCTTCTCCTCCTTCTCCCAGGACAGTAACTGACTGCTGACCCTCTTCCCTCCTCCCCCACGATGGACATCCCTGGCTACTCTTCAGCGGTGCCCGCCACCTCGGAACCCGGGAACACTTCCTCGGCCTGGTCCCTGGATGCCACCCTGGGAAACAGGTCTGGGGCCCCCAGCCCCGCTGGGTCAGCTGTCAGGGGCATTCTGATCCCCCTGGTCTACCTGTTGGTGTGCGTGGTGGGTCTGCTGGGCAACTCGCTGGTCATCTATGTGGTCCTGCGGCACACGGCGAGCCCGTCGGTGACCAACGTCTACATCCTCAACCTGGCGCTGGCCGACGAGCTCTTCATGCTGGGGCTGCCCTTCCTGGCGGCCCAGAATGCCCTGTCCTACTGGCCCTTCGGCTCCCTCATGTGCCGCCTGGTCATGGCCGTGGACGGCATTAACCAGTTCACCAGCATCTTCTGCCTCACCGTCATGAGCGTGGACCGCTACCTGGCCGTGGTGCACCCGACGCGCTCGGCCCGGTGGCGCACGGCGCCGGTGGCCCGAGCGGTCAGCGTGGCCGTCTGGGTGGCCTCGGCGGTGGTCGTCCTGCCCGTGGTGGTCTTCTCGGGCGTGCCCCGGGGGATGAGCACCTGCCACATGCAGTGGCCCGAGCCCGCGGCCGCCTGGCAGGCCGGCTTCATCATCTACACGGCGGCCCTGGGCTTCTTCGGGCCGCTGCTGGTCATCTGCCTCTGCTACCTGCTCATCGTGGTCAAGGTGCGCTCGGCCGGCCGCCGCGTGTGGGCGCCCTCGTGCCAGCGGCGCCGCAGCTCGGAGCGCAGGGTCACGCGCATGGTGGTGGCCGTCGTGGTGCTCTTCGTCCTCTGCTGGATGCCCTTCTACGTGCTAAACATCGTCAACGTGGTGTGCCAGCTGCCCGAGGAGCCCGCCTTCTTTGGCCTCTACTTCCTCGTGGTGGCACTGCCCTATGCCAACAGCTGCGCCAACCCCATCCTCTACGGCTTCCTCTCCTACCGCTTCAAGCAGGGCTTCCGCCGGGTGCTGCTGCGGCCTTCGCGCCGCGTGCGCAACCAGGAGCCCGCACCGGGGCCTCCGGAGAAGACGGAGGAGGAGGAGGAGGAGGATGGCGAGGGGGAGGGCGACGACGAGGACAGTGGGAAGGGCAGGGGTCAGGGGGTGCGCACGCAGGCGAATGGCGAGGTCAGCCAGATCGCCCAGGCTGGGCCCAGCGGGCAGCAGCGGCCTCCGAGCTGCACCATGGGGAAGGAGCAGCAGTTCCTACCCCAGGAGCCCTGTGCGGGGAACAAATCCAGTGCACTGCACATTAGCTACCTGTAAGGCCCCCCAGAGAGGGCCAGGGCGTCCTGTGGAGGGGCGGGAGGCTGCTAGCATGCCTGGAGCCTGCTGTCCGAGGGGCTGGCCACCCACCAGCGATGCTCCCAGGCCTGGGTTCTGATCCCCGTACAGCAGGGCTTGTCCGGTGAGTGTAGGAGGGTAGTCTTCCCTCTGGGCTTTGCTTCTCCTCTGTAACTCAGGGAGAGAGCATTAGCGCAGTGAGATCTGACAGGTTAGCAGATGAAGGGGCTTCCTCACTGGGCTGGTGACAGGGACAGTACACCTTGTCCTTTCCCAACTTTCGGGGACGTGAGGCATGCTGGGAGATCAAGGTCTGGAGTGCTTGGACTCCGAGTCAGGGACACAGAGCTGGGCTGCCCGGTAGAAGGGAGGAGAAGGTAGAAGGGACGAGGGGATGGTGCATCATGACCACCAGCTCAGCTGTGCCCACAGGCAGTGTGGCCTGTGCCAGCTAGCCTCTTCTCATCTGGGGATTCACCCCTGGACAAGCTGAACCCTCCAGGCCTCTGCCCTGGACACTCAGTGCGGGAACCAGAGGGGCATTTTCCCGGGAGGCTAATTGAGATGCAGTGACTGCAGCAATGTGCGTGTGTCAGAGATGATGAGGATGGCACAGGATAGGACAAGCTTTATGCCTGTTCATGGGATCATTATGGGTCGTCTCGGACTCCACAGCACCTAACAACAACAACAATAGAGCCGAGCTCCCAGCTCTTTGCTGCAAGGGCCATTCTGAGGCTTCGCTCTGGTGGTTTTGTATTCCTTTACTTGTATGAACGTGGGCCACACAAAGTCTAGTTCAGCCCCTACTGGGGAAGCTGCCCAGCCCCCAAAGCAGCTCACTTCCAGTCCTGAAGCTGGGGCTCAGGTGACCCAGATCCAAGAGCTCCAGGCACTTCCTCTGAGGAGGGGCCAGCCCAGCGCCCCTCACTCTCGCTGTGATCTACTGCCCCTTCTCCCAGAGGCAGAAAGCCCCCCTCCACCCTCTGGCAGGCATGCTTGGAGAGGCAAGGTGTCTAAAGGGCACCGTGAGGAGGAGGAAATGGAAAAGGAGGAGGAAGGCGGGTGAGGGAGAGAGATCTTCTCTGACCTTGGAGCTGACCTTGGTCCTCTGGACTGAGCCCAGCCACGCGCACGTCTGTGGAACAGGGACATTGTGATGCCTGGCTGAGCAGTCCCAGGGAGAGGATGCAATCAGTCCAGAGAGGAGAAGCAGCAGCTCTGAAACACGCAGGGCTGGCCCCTTGAGGTTCTTGGAGGTGGAGGTCCTTGGGGCGGACCTGAGAAGCCAATCCTGAGGCCAGGAGGAGGGGCTAGCTTCCTATAGAGGGACAAACGAATCCTCCACCCTCCATGCCCAAGGCTGTGGGGCCAGAAGCCCAGGGAAGACAGGGAGAGACCACTGCCTGAAGCTGGTCCAGCACTGGCCGAATTCTCTCCCTGCAGAGTCACAGGGCTGGCCCCGGGGTTGGGGTGGGGGCTCCAGCTGAACAGCCTCCCCTCCCCATTAGAACTCTCGCAGGGGTTCCTCAGGGAAAGTATGTGATCTGAAAGCTGGGAGAGCTGGTCCTCAGCCCACCTTACCTCGTGAGCCTTGGCTAACTTTGACCCCTTGGCCTCAGTTTCCCCATTTTAAGGTAGAAGGTTCACAGCCAAGTTCACTTGGGGCTGGGCTGAAAGCACTGAAGGATAAAGTGGAGGTGCCTTGCCCCTAGTCCTGGTCTTCACCCCACCCCCCACCCTCCTTCATCAAGTGCGTCTCTGCCTCCGGCTCCCAGGAGTAAGACATGAGCTAAAGAGAGTTGTGGACAGAGGGGCTAGGGCTGAGGGGGAGGGAGAAGACACCCAACATTCTGGCATTCCCTGCTGGCCCTCACCACTCCCCTCTCTTCCCCACACCTGGGCCAGGTGGGCAGTGATCCTCCAGGATGGCCGGGGAAGCTCTCACTGCTTCTGCTCCTGGCTCTTATCAATAAAGATGGCGATACATGAACTGCAGTGTGGCTGGGCCCTTTGTCTGCAGGATCTGTGAGTTTGACAGGCTGTGGACATGCAGAATCTCCTGGAAGGTAGGTGTACATGCACCTACTTTTATCTATCTGGTTTTTGTTTTGTTTTTTTAATCTATCTTAGCTCTGGGCACACTAGCCTCTTCCTGTGGGCTTCCAGGGCCCAGCTTCTCTTGGCCACAGGCAAGATGCCCTGGCAGCCCCTCGGCCCACCTCCTCCTTACAGATCTTACTTAAAAACCAAAACAAGTACTGCAATCCCGAAGGTGCACAGTTCAAATCCACCAGATGCTCCGCGGTAGAAGGAGGGGCAATCTCCTCCTTGTGCCAATCATCTGATTTGAGGTACACAACAAGAAAAAACAAAACCAAACCAATCTCCTGTTCCCATAGCAAATCTCATGGCAGGAAGCTGATTGGCTCTACTTGAGTCATGTTGTTGCCTTTTAGACCAATCACCAAAGGAACAGGTGCTGTGGTTGGCCCTGGTAGGCTATCTTTCCAGTCAGGGGAAAGGGAAACACTGTGATGGACAGGCTGGCTCAACCAATAGAATGTAGAGTAGGGAGTGGAGGAGGCGGGCCAGGTGGGATCATGTGGTCGGAGAGACTACTGCACTCTGTTCACTGGGTGTGTTTGCTTTTGCAGGTGTGTATGTGTGTGTGTGTGTGTGTGTGTGTGTGTGTGTGGTTTGTGTGAGAATGATGTGCAGGACATCTTGGCAAGGTCCATGCATGCAGGGATGTTTGTTCGGGACATTAAGGTGTGGTTGGCAGGGGTGCCTGAGGAGCGTAGAGGGATTTCTGGGGACCATGTGTTGAGTGGAATGGCTGTGGTTTCTTTCCACCACACTCTTATCAGAGCCTATGTGCGATCTCATGCGCGGGGATGTCCCACTATCTGTGTTCCCAAACACTAGCGCTCTAGGCCCGTCATATGAGCATTTTGCATAAATGAATGAAAAGAAGACCATTGAGTGACAGCTCAGGGGCACAGGCTGCACGGCAACTCTCGCCTTCTTGTATCAGGCCGTGGAGAAGAACTGAGCTGGACTAGCTGATTTCATGAACAGAATCATTCCCGGATTTTTTGACAGCAAACTGAGACGGAGAAACTGAGTAATGAGCTCAGGGTTACACATAATTCAGAGAGGATTCAAACCTAGGCAATCTGATCTCAGGCTCTGTGCTCTTAACCACCATGCCACACTCCCATGCCTTTCTAGTTCTCACTGAGACTGTGCAGATGAGTTTGTGGGGTTTGGGGATGAAGCAGGAGGAACAGGCGAGCCGGTATGAGGTTCAAGGCTGGAGCCTGGTTTACATGGCCTGGAGGGGCTGCTGGGAGAACTAGAGCAGGGAGATGACCCACTAGTCCTCTTCTGCAGTTATCCTTGCTACTCAGACCCAAGGCTTTGCCTTGAACTTGTCTCTCATAAGTGGTTGCCAAGCAACAGCCCATGGTCACGGGGCTCTAGACCAGGACTTCATGCATCAGCATCAGTAGCAGCGAGAAGAGCTGGGTGGGAATCTCAGAGTTTGGGGAGACATCCAAGCCTTGGGCTCCTCCTTAGCTGGAAGGGAGGCCACAGGGAGAGTGACAGCCTGGGCTCCAAAAGGACCCCAGACACCAAAGAAGCCCTCGAGGGGAGGTCAGCCGGGCCGAGGTCAGATGTGACGGCTGCATCCTCCTGGGCTGCATCCCTGGATTGCACTGGTCCACGGTCCTGAGCTAACCTCCGGGCCCTTCCTGTCATCAGTGAGCTGTAGGAGAGATTAATTTCCTGAAAGTCATGCACAGGGTTTCAGGTGGTCCTCCAGAGGGCTATGAGTTGGAGCTGACTTGGCAGCACCTAATGTTGCTAGGAGGGACTGTTCCTTGGACTCACAAGAAAACAAAGATTCTTACCACTGAGCTGATAGGCAACACAACAATGGATGGAGAAGAGATTAAATCTATCAACAGCTTCATCTTGCTTGGATCCACAGTTAACACCCTTGGTTCCAGCAGTCAGAAAATAAAGAGACCCACTGCACTGGGAAAATCTGCAGTTAAGGACCTCTCCAAAAGCTTGAGGAGTAATGATGTCACTTTGAGGATTTAAGTGTGTCTGATTCAGGCCAAAATCTTTCCGATCACTTGACATGAGAGCTGGACAGTGAATAAGGGTGACAGAAGAATTGACGCCTTTGAGCTGTGGTGTTGGAGAAGAGCACTGAACATTCCATGGACGGCCAAGAGAACAAACAGATATGTCATGGGGAGGGTGCAGCTGGAGTGCTCTTTGGAGGCAAGAAAGATGACGTTTTTCCTTATATACTTTGAGCATGTTGCTAGGAGGGTCTATTCCTTGGAGAAGGACATGATGCTGGGAAGGATGGAGTGTCAATGAAGGAGAGGAAGACCCTCAACCAGGTGGATTGACACGGTGACTGCTGCAATGGTCTCTAGTGTGTCAGAAAGTGTGAGGATGGCACAGGACAGGACAGGGCTCAGATCTTTTGTTCATAGGTCTCTGTGAGTCATACTTGAGTCTATGGCACCTAACAACAACAGCTTGGAATGGAACATCCTTCTTGGAAAAATAGACCATCAATGCGAGGTGGAGTGACTGACAATGGGCTCAGGTGTGTCAGGAATGATGACGGTACAGAATAGGACAGGGCTCAGGTTTGTTGTTCATAGGGTTACTATAGTCATACTCTATTTGATGGCCTAGTGGCAAGAAGTTGTGCTGCAATACCAAAGGGATGCGGTTCGAATTCACCAGATGCTCAGCGGGAGAAGGATGGACAGTCTCCTCCTGTGATATTAGTGGCCTCTAAAAACCTTCTGGAGGGTCAGTTATGGGTCAGTTCTCACTGGATGGCACACAATGAAAACAAGCCATGGAACCCAAAGTCAGAAGACCTGAGTTGCACCCACTGCACCCAGAACCTGCTGTGTGATTTAGACCATATCCTTCACATTTCT